GGAGTGGCTGGGGACAGTGGGCTGCAACCCAGGAGACTTGGGTTTTATTCCTGACTCTCTAACTGATTCGCTGTGTGACCTTGGTCAAGCCACTTCACCTCTCCCGTGCCACGGGGCAGCTCCCATTGCAGTCGGGAGACGGAGGGGAGGATGGAATCAGACCCTGGGTGTCGTCTTTGCAGAATCCTTTCCGAGCCCTGGCTAAAGATGCTACATGAGTGGGACTTGTTAGAAGATGAAATGTCCTTCCCCATCTACCGTGCCAATCCCTCTGCCACTGGCCCTGTATTCTGAACGGCTGTTGGGCCACAAGTGCAGTCATTACAAGCATGGGCAGAAGCACATTTGCTTGACATTTTTTGGTTGCTCCCAAGCTCAGGGTGAAGCCAGGGACTGAGAGCGAAATACCCCAGCCCTCATTCGGCCTAAGGCCTCTGAATAAAACCAGATCCCTAATTGGCCCCCTCAAGGATTGAACTCACAACCCTGGGTTTAGCAGGCCAATGCTCAAACCACTGAGCTATCCCTCCCCAGTTTGTCTCCATTGTAGCTGAACACAATCTGCCCTTGCACAAGCCTTCACCTGCTTAGGAGAGGAATAAATAATCAAACCCTAACTGCAGGCTTCACTCCCGAGTTTTGCAGGGGCTTCTGCCCCTTGGGGGGTGTGGCTGTGTTCTGTGGGACTGTGCTTGGAGGGTCTCCGCCAGCAAAGCAGGTAGGCCTGTAAGGAAACCCATCGTCTTCCTGTTCTTAGCGTTAGGCTCATGCTTTAATGCTTTGCTGGATCAGGGCCCGAGTGAGCAGCCATCTCTATTCTATGACACTTCCCGTACAGACACAGGTTAGTTCTTTGTATGGGCCTTGACAAGTCTAGCCTGTCAGGCACATTTCCAGCGATTTTATTTTCCCCTAGGTGCACTGCGTTCTGTTTCGGTTCCCATAGAGAAGCCCATCCTACAGGGACATGTGTGGAATCTTTGTTTTTCCCTTGAACAGCTACAGAAAAATAAATGACAACAAGTGAATTCTTGTTAGAAACAAACATTAGAAAGGACGTCTAATCGAACGCACGAACGGGTGAAAAGTCATTAATCGATGGTTCAGTGGCACAAACACGCAAGTCTCCAGCAAGGGTGCGTCTGGGCTAGTGTGACCAGGTTCCAGCACCTCGTCAGCTTTCCCCTCACTCTTCCTGCTGCAGAATTACGCAGCGAAGACAGTGGTGATGCTTAAAATCTGGCTGTGTGTTTGTTCTAGTGTTCATGCTCAGCTGCAGCTTTCCCCGGAGGCCTGACTTTGGAGATGTCACCGTCATGGATCTGCATTCTGGTGGAGTCGCCCATTTCCACTGTTACCTGGGATACGAACTCCAAGGCCCCAAACTGCTCACATGCATCAATGCATCTAGACCTCACTGGAGCAGCCCAGAACCTGTCTGTTCAGGTACCGTATCTGATCATTAACACAGCTGCTAAGACAAGCTGGACTCTAGAATCATTGAGTGTTAAAAGTTGAATGTGAGCCTGGGAGAGGGGGAAACTGTACCAAATTCTGCTCCCATTTATACCAGTGTACATCCAGAGTGCCTATCTGAGTCAGTGGAGTGACACTTCATTCGAGTAAAGCGTGACCGATCGAGCCCCTGCCCGGGTGCGGAACGACTGGCACGGCACCGGCCATGCTGGAGTCTCAAGAATCCACAGTGCTGAAAGGCAGAGACATTACTGCTCTCTGCTTCCCTCTTGCTTTTTAGTGGCAAGCTGGAGGCATTTTTACTCTGCCTGGGGCCTGGTGACGAGGAAGGAGCCGCTCCCTGTACAGAAATGTCTGACTGGGAGCAGAACTGACCCACTGTTAGGCAAGTAACAAAAAGGAAATGACCATTTAAAAAATAGAGAGAGACAACAACGAGCAAAGCTCAGTTATCAAGTTGTTCCTGCGTTTCTCAGGACGTGTTAGATTCCCAGGGAAACCAAGGCCCTGCACCACTAATCTACATACAGAATCATCCCATGTTTCATTTGGCAAGAGTACAGAAGCACAGGGGTTGTACAAGCCAGTAATAAAACGCCCCAGAGAGACACCTGTCTTGGTTTATAACAAGACACAATAAGTGAATAAACAGACACATCTGGGGACAGTAACAATGAAATGGGCCTGATCCCATTTGTGCACTATCAGCAGCAGTCACACCTGTTTTGCTCTGGGGGAGTAAAATTCCTCTTTGGACAGAAACCAGACGTGGCAAATCTCAGCCTCAAAGACGAATGTTTCAGCAAGTTACGGGCACGTGAAAGCAGAGAGTGCTAATGGGCACTGGCTAGCAGTCTGTGCAGTCACAGTGTGACCAGCACGGTGCACCCAGTGGATTGAGATCCTTCTAGGGAGGCTGCATCTGTTCGCTCCTTTGCATGCGCCACAAGCCGCGTTCCGGGCACTTTTTGAGATGTCTTCTTGTCTGTCAGCTGCTTAATGTGCTGCTGGGCTGTCAGAACGGCCAGGTCTCCTCGCCTTCCCTCAGACTCAAGGAGGCACTGGCTCATCATGGCTTCTGGCGGAGGTAGAATGCAAATCCCCCGGGAGATGATATATCTGCTCAGCTCATCTCAAAAAGCTTTTCCTCCCGCCTCTAGCACTCCTCTGCTTTAAGCTACTTCCAGTTGGGTTCAGAGCCACCCAGCTTGTGTGTGAATCACTCATACAAAGCACAGCCTCCCTCACTACATTCGACAGCCTCCTTCCTACATATGCCCGCTCCCATGCTTGCAGGGGTTTCCTTGTCTCCACCACACAGCGCTGCACACACCTGTCCATGTGCAGTGCAGGATGGGGCAGTTTCAGTTGACGTTGGGTTTGGGGGTCTACCCCTCGCTCCTAACTTTCCTTTCCCAAGTTAAATGAACCTAAAATGTCAAAGAGAAACCCAGTGGAAAGCAGAGCTCCCCTGATCTGGGGTCAAACCCACACAAAGCCACGAGCGTCACGTGGGTTGAACCTGCAGCTGCAATAAATCAACCTAGTATCCCTCCAGCACACTGTGCCACGCTGGGAGGAAATGCAAAACCAGGAAAGATTTACATGCTTTGGGGAGTCATAACAAGAGTAGATTCTGCTCTGATTCTACTGGTGTAAATCCACTTCTTTGGAGTCAGTGGAGTCAGTCCAGTTTACGCTGGTGCAGTTGAGAGTAGAATCTGCCTGATTTGGCAGCCCATTTCTCGGGGAAGAGGCCCTTCTTAGTGTACACTCATTTGTCAGGACAGAGCGCACGGCCCGCCTTATGTGGCTGGGATCAAAGCTCTGAATGGCTGCGTGCTCCAGTCTCACCGTCTCTGTGCTTTCCTCGCCAGCACCCTGCGGCGGCCTGGTGCATAATGCCACGATTGGACGAGTTCTCTCGCCGAGCTACCCCGGGAACCACAGCAACATGCACTGCGTGTGGACCATCGACGCTCCCCAGGGCCAGAAGCTGCACCTGCACTTTGAGAGGCTTCTGCTGAGTGAGAAGGACAGGTGAGGAGTCGCTCGCGGAGACGCAGGCATGCTGACCCGAGAGCCCAGAATCTGAGCTGACCTGTGCAGGGAGGTTAGCTTTGCCATTGCTGCCCGGGCTACTGCTGGCGTTCAGGGGCGCCAGGTCTGAGCACCCTGCTCTTCCCACCCTGTGCCATCAGCGTGAGGAAGACCTGGCAGCCCCTTACCCCGTCCAGAGGAGGCTCAAGGGTCTTGCGAGGGGTTTTCCTCAGGACTGACTGGACAGGGTATTCCCTCACTCCAACCTGGGAGGGCCTTACCCAGCCACCTTTCAGACCGCCTGGGCCAGGCGTAGATCTCCCGTCTCCAGGGCGTGCTGGGAGCAGGGCACTTTCCGTCTTGTTATAGTGGGAGCCAGCGAGTTGGCTGGGGATTTCAATGGCCCTGGGTGGTGAAGTGTAATTCCCACAACAGGGGTTCAGCCCTCTAGTGGGTCTCGTGTGCATGGGAGGGGGCAGGGAGCATCACCCGTTTGGGGATTTCATTGTAGACCAGCACTCTCTAGGGCAAGCGTCTCCAGTGTGCGGGGAGGGGGGCACAACCACCCCGCCCTGCCGTGTTGCTGAGTGGGAGGGGTGCCCGGCGAGATGGGAGGGCATCCTGGGAGGAGGTGAATCTCGCTGGTACAGAAGAGTCAAAGGTCCATTGTTCTAGGGCAGGATTCTCCGGAGTAACTTGTAAACAGAAAGTGATGGGAAGGGCAGGAGAGCTAATGGGCTCTGCTGCCCCAGACGGGAACTGGATCACCTGCAGATGGTCACAATGGTCCCTTCTGGCCTTAAACGTCTCCGGTTACCCCCACCCACCATGTGATTTAGCATGGGGTCTGTATAGTGACACTGGGTCTCATAATCAGTAGCCCAATCCACAAACTTCCCCCCTGGCTCCCAAAAAAACCCAAATGCCCATGGCTGCGTCTCACCCACAAACCCTGAAAAGTGACAAATCACAGTCTGTTGGCATCCATAACACACAGCACACATTTACGGGGCTGATGTTTGTGTTTAAGTGCCATTAAAAATTCAGTCTGGTAACAGGCAATAAAGCCAGTTTATGGCTTGTAGTAAAAGCAGAGAATAAAGCACCTGTTTACTACACGATAAAACAGACGTAGCCGCTTTGTGAATTGGTGTTTGCATCATTTCTTTCAAACGTTGCCCTCCGAATGCATGACCGAACGGGCCCCTGCCTGGGTGCAGAACCACAGTGCTGAAAGGCAGAGACGTTACTGCTCCTGCTTCCCTATTTTTAGTGGCAAGTTGGAGGCATTTTCACTCTGCCAGGGGCCTGGTGAGGAGGAAGGAGCAGCTCCCTGTACAGAATCGTCTCACACTGTTGCCAAGTACACGTTTCATCCTCTTCCTTCCTGTGCGTCCAGCTCCTCGCTCTGATCCTGGCTGTGCTGGTAAATGAACCGGGGCGGGGTGGCGTGAGCGACTACCCGCCTGTGCTGGCTCGGTCCCTGCCCAGGCAGAAAGGTGGCCAGCGGAGGAGCCACTAGCCCTTTGCTAACATGCCGTGTCCTCTCTGGACAGAATGGTGGTGTACAGCGGAGAGACGAACCACTCAGCCATCCTCTACGATTCCCTGCGGACAGAGAGCGTCCCCTTTGAAGGCGTGATCAGCGAGGGCTCCGCTATACGCATTGACTTCCTGGCGGATGAGGCGAGGGCCACCACAGCTTTCAACATTCGATTTGAAGGTGACTCCCCCTTTAATTTTGGATCTGGCTGGTGGATAGCAGCAGGCAGACACTAGCTAACGCTGCTTGTGCTCAGTGGAATCGGGCAAGTAATAGATGTATTGATTGCAATTACTCTAGCAGGGGTTACCCTTCGTAGCTATAGGAAGCTGCTTGCCCCTGGCACCAGCAGAATCCAATAGCCACCCCTCCCCTTGTCCCTGCATTATTGGAGGCATCGATTGGAACCTGGTGCTGAGTCTGCCAGCAGACTGGTAGTCAACTCGCTAATATCCCTAGGCCAGCAGAGCCAGGCGAGTGTCTGCCCATGCGGCTCCCACGAATTACCGAAGGAAAGTCCCGGCAGTTCCTATCCCCTCCCAGCCTGGCTGCTGCAAATGTGACAACTGCATAGCCCTGCTGGGAGGATTTACCTCCTGGCTGCGAATGTATCACTGGTGATTCATGGTCCGCTGCAGCTTCTAGGTCTCCCCAAAGACCTGTTCCAGCAAACAGGAATCGAGGCAAAAGAAACAAGTGTTCATTTCTGCAGTACAGAGCCTGGGAAGTGGAGTTCTTTTCCCTTCATTCGCTGTGAGGGGCAAATCGGACAAATGGCTACAAACCAGAGAGCATTCCCAGACCCCAGGGGAGAGTCGAGCCAGAAATGTTAGTCTGACAGCAGGACGCTACTTCCTGCCCTGTGCTTCGGATTTACTTTGGTTTAGTTTTGAGTTGGACTAGTGACTACTTCAGAGGTGAGCCCCGTTCCAGTTGCTGGGGTGTTACTGTCCAGAGGAATCAGTGAAAAGCCAGCCTGTCCCCGGGATGGCAGGCAGCACTGCAGATACATTCTGCTAGACAGACGCACCACGTGCAGTCAGATTAGAGCAGTGGCAGTTTGGATCTACATTTTTTTAAAAGGTGGGAGGGGTGGAGAAATCACAGTTCCTCCAATAAAAAGCAACAGAGGGTCCTGTGGCACCTTTAAGACTAACAGAAGTATTGGGAGCATAAGCTTTTGTGGGTAAGAACCTCACTTCTTCAGATGCAAGTTCCTCCAATGTCATTGAAAACTGAAAATCAAACCTCCCGTTCACTCCCGGTTTCCCTTTTGCTTCCCCCTGCCCTGGCACCATCCTACATCAGAATCTGTTTCCTTACTGAGGCTGCAAAGACGCTGAACATTCAGTCTTCTGCCTTGTCCCCTAGTTCTGCATGCATGTTAAATACTTCCCTGCAATCACAGCGTTCCCATACAGCTGTTTTATTTTAAAAGCTTTTGTGGAGTTTGGTGCCAAAGCTCCGTGGTGACTGTTATAATAATCCCCCTGTGTCACTCACCTGGCTGCTATTTAAGTCCCACTTACCCCAGACCTAATCATCTGTGCTCAGAGTTAAGAGCAATTTCTTTACATTTGAAAAGTGCCATGACGCGTAATTGAACTACATGATACAAAGAGTGTCTGTGCGAACCACAAATAACCCCTGCTCACTGTAACTCAGAAATGCATTGGAAGTACAGAGGGCCAGATCCTCAGCAGCTGGTGTAATCAGGGAAGCTGCACTGACATCACCAGAACTGACTTCAGTGGCGCTAGCCCTGTTTGCAGGAGCTGGGAATCTGGCCCTAACCGTTCCTTCCTGCTCCCACCCTTCAAAGACGGAATGGTGCAGCTCCCCTCCCTTGGGGTATGTGCAATAGGAAACCCAGGATGGACAGCCCTACAAGAGCTCTGTCTGCACCGCTGCAGTGCTGCCTGGGCTGGTCTGAGGAGCTGGGGATGTTAAGTACCAGAGAGCACTAACTAGACATCCCTGTAATGGGGGGCTGCTATCCAAGTGCCCCTCAGGACCTGGACACTTCTGCTATCTCCTGCCCCTGTTTTCCCCTTCAGCAAACTTCCCCATCTCTGTCAACCAGGGCCGGCTCCAGCATTTTTACTGCCCCAAGTGGCGAAAAAAAGAAAGAAAAAAAAAGCCGCAATCGGCCGCACTTTGGCGGCAGCTCTACCGCCGCCGCTTTATTCTTCGGCGGCAATTCGGCGGCCGGTCCTTCCCTCCGAGAGGGACTGAGGGACCCGCCGCCGAAGAGCCGGACGTGCCGCCCCTTTCCATTGGCTGCCCCAAGCACCTGCTTGCTGCGCTGGTGCCTGGAGCCGGCCCTGCTGTCAGCCACAGCCCTGCTTAGCATCTGGGGGGGGTTATTACAGTCACAAAGTTCTCAGACAAACACAAAATCAATCTTACCCTGGGCATGGCCCTTCCTCCAGGACCCTGGCAAGAGACCCTCTTTCCCTGCAGCTCCAGTCTGCCAGTCCCTCACTAGGAGCCCCTCCCTGCAGCCTCCTGCTGCCTTTTACCCTAGCTGGGATCACCCTGATTCCACGCAGGTGGGGCCCCTCCTGTAACCAGGGCTGGCTTAGCCCCTGGCTCTCCAGTCCTGTTACAATCACCTAACACAATCCAGGGCTCCCTGACTCGGAAGGCAGAGTAATAAAGTCAAAGTCGTAAGCAGATTCTCCCAAAGAGGGTTTGTGTGGGCGAAAGGGCTGCGGATGCTGGAATAAGTCACACGTGTGGGTGGAGCAGAGTGAGCGTTACTCACAGGTTGGGTGGTGATCTGGCCAGGGGGGTCTGAAGTAGGGTGACCAGATGAGAGGAAGAAAATATTGGGACATATGGGGGGGGTGCACCGGTGGAGCAAAAAAAAAGCGGAGTGCCGCAAAATATCAGGACAAATTGCGTCCCGCCCAAACATCGGTCAGGACGCGGGACAAACGCCTAAATATCGGGACAGTCCCGATTTTATCGGGATGTCTGGTCACCCTAGACTGAAACCTGAGCCTGCCTGAGACCCACCACCCTGGGCAGGGGCTGATATGTCCCCCAGTTAAACTTCCTGTGCAGAGCCACGCAATACAGCCCCTGGTGACTGCAGAAAATGCCTAACTTGGAACCTCTCCAAGATTACAGCGAAGTAATCTCACTCCAGTCACTTGCCTTCTGCCTGCGGAGTGCCATGGCGCAGGCCGAGTAGCTGTCAATCTGACTGAGGAGCGGCTGCATTTGTGAACCAGTTAATAGCCAAGAGCTTCTCCTTTGGAGAACGAGAGGTTCAGGGACATGCCAGGTGAATCCCAGGGAGCTCCAAGAGATTTGCCACAATTGTCATTGAAATACATGCTGCTGTCAGGATCCGTCTCAGACCTCGGGTCTCTGACCAGACTCAATAACATGCAATAATCCCAGGGAAGAAGATTGCTCAGTAAATCTATACACTGGCAGCACGGCTTGTATATTACTGTTGATAATACACAAAAGAAGTGGGGCTTGGCTAAACCTTACAAGCTCAGACCAGATAAACCATTGTTAATCCTAATTGCCTGTAAAAGAAGCTACGGAACAGGGCTGCAGCATCCCCGTACCAGAGCCCAGTTCAGCCGCAATCCGATCCAGGGGCCACGCTGTGAAGCAGATGCCAGGCACCGGCAGTTTGGGAGGGGTTTCTAGAGGAGCGCTTGCCCAGCATGTGCCACGTCAGCCCTGAACTCTTCATCTGGTAACATGTTAAGTGATAAAAACGTCCAGCCCAGCCCTGACTAGAACTTGCTCAGTCACAGTCAATTGACAGCTTTCAATTTCGGCTTCCGCACGTTGTTTCCCAGCTTACTGTCACGGGGCACTTGCTGGGTTTGCTCAGCGCTGGCTGCGGATTGGGCTGGCCGGGGGACCTTTAAACAGATTTTCTACTCTCGTTGGTAAAGAAAAATGTAAAACAAATGGGATTGGCATGGAATTTAGTGCGATAGGCAGCTTTCTCCCTCCCACATGCCCCCACGCATGGCACAGCGCCAGGGGAGCCCAATGGCATTCCAGAGCGTGGCACAAGCTAGACTGGCATCCAGACTGTGCCAGGCTCACTGCTGCTGGGTGCCACAAATCCAGCAGGGACGTACCAGTCCTGACCCCCGGTGAGGCCCTGCCAGGGAGATAAGCACTGACTCGGGCTGGTTCTTATTCTTCCTAGAGCAGCTTACTGCTCCCTCGCTCTACTACAGAGAGCTTATGAAACACTGGTCTGTACAATGGATAACAGCCTACTACTGCTAATGGACTTACTACCCCTTTAGCTCAGCTGGTGCTTTAGAGCTGATGGCCCCGAGTGCAGACTCTACTTGTGGTGAGAGTTGTGACAGTTGCACAAAAACTAGAAGAGGCGACGGTGACAGGTGCTGTCTCCTCCCCAGAGCAGGGTCCGTGCTGCACCTGCCCAATTAACATGGTGTTTCCCTTCAAGCTTTCGAGCGAGGCCATTGCTATGAACCCTACATTCAGAATGGGAATTTTACCACCTCCGATCCTACCTACAACCTGGGAACGACGGTGGAGTTCACCTGTGACCCTGGCCATTCCCTGGAGCAGGGACCTGCCATAATCGAGTGTATCAACGTCAGGGACCCCTACTGGAATGACACCGAGCCACTGTGCAGAGGTCAGTTACCCTCAGCCTGCTGGGGTCGCTGTGCTTTGCGCTGGTACTGCATGTCGGGGAACATGCAAAAATAAAAACTCTCCAGTGTTAGTGACCGCGCTGCCAGAGAAAGTGACTGCATGTGAGTGAGGATAACGTAGCCAAGTTAAGGCATATGTCTGTGAGCCTTTGCACAGCATTCAGAGACAGGTCAGCAAATGCAGGGAGGGACTTAGCCTCCATGGGGCCTGTTGACTGCACTGGAAGAGTGGAGGGCTTGACCTTTCTCAAAGTCGGCTGCCAGAGCTCCCACTGTGCCAGGGAGAGCTCCCACCACGCTGCAGGCAGCATTCCCTCAGCCCCCAGGACAGCTGCTGTACATTGAGTGGATGTTTTCAGAGAACTATCCACAATGACTCCAAGCTCTCTCTCTTGAGTGGGGTCTAAATTAGCTGTTACCACTCAAGAGTGAGATCTTGGAGTCGTGGATAGTTCTCTGAAAACATCCACTCAATGTGCAGCGACAGTCAAAAAAGTGAACAGAATGTTGGGAATCATTAAGAAAGGGATAGATAATAAGACAGAAAATATCATATTGCCTCTATATAAATCCATGGTACACCCACATCTTGAATACTGTGTGCAGATCTGGTCGTCCCATCCCAAAAAAGATATATTGGAATTGGAAAAGGTTTAGAAAAGGGCAACAAAAATGATTAGGGGTATGGAACAGCTTCCGTATGAGGAGAGATTAAGACTGGGACTTTTAAGCTTGGAAAAGAGACTACTAAGGGGGATATGATATAGGTCTATAAAATCATGACTAGTGTGGAGAAAATAAATAAGGAAGTGTTATTTACTCCTTCTCATAACACAAGAACTAGGGGTCACCATATGAAATTAATAGGCAGCAGGTTTAACACAAACAAAAGGAAGTATTTTTTCACACAATGCACAGTCAACCTGTGGAACTCCTTGCCAGAGGATGTTGTGAAGGCCAAGACCATAACAGGGTTCAAAAAAGAACTAGATAAATTCATGGAGGATAGGTCCATCAATGGCTATTAGCCGGGATGGGCAGGGATGGTGTCCCTTGCCTCTGTTTGCCAGAAGCTGGGAATGGGCGACAGGGGATGGATCACTTGATGATTCCCTGTTCTGTTCATTCCCTCTGGGGCAACTAGCATTGGCCACTGTCGGAAGACAGGACACTGGGCTAGATGGACCTTTGGTCTGACTCAGTCTGGCCGTTCTTATGAGTCACCTCTCTCTGTCTCTCGCTATTTCAGCAATGTGTGGAGGGGAGCTCTCTGCCATGGCAGGAGTCATCCTGTCCCCCAACTGGCCAGAGCCCTATGCTGAGGGAGAGGACTGCATCTGGAGGGTACACGTTGGGGAGGAAAAGCGGCTTTTCCTGGACATCCAGCTGTGAGTACTTTGCGGGAGCCTGACCCAGGCTGGGCTGATCCCTTTCCTCCATCAGCTGGTTTATCGTGTGTGATTGCTCTGCTGACACCAGAAACTGTTACAAGGCCCTGGGTGTGTTTGTGGGACGTGCTGCCCTTTGCTGTGCTTAGACCTCGGCAGGAGGCCTACGCACAAAGTGACCACAGATAGCACTGACTGTGCCAAGACAGGCTACATTACTAGCCGCCTCCGTCACAGAGCAAAGCAAGTCTGTGTCCCAAAAGTTCCAATCCTGCTTCTGTCTCTGAAACGGCTGGTCATCTTCAGCAAGTCACTGAACCTCTGTGCCTCGGTTTCCCCACCCGTCTGAGGGATTGGGATATTAATGGGAGCAATATGAATAATGCCATTATTTTAGATGCAGACCGGAGAGGGACAATGATCTCTCCAGCCAGGAAGAGGTGCTAAGAGAACTAGAGATGCAGATATTGAAGATGAAAAATATTACACAAGTGTCATTTGATTTATCGCCCTAGATCACATCCCGTGGAAATCTGCTGGACTCATGGGTGAAGGTTCTGCCTCCTTTTGCAGAATCTGCAGTTTTAAACAGTGAAGCCCATTTTGACAAGAGTCCCCAGGCCAATGTGGTGCCACTCGATCTGCAGCATGGCCCCCGTGGGGGTGAGCGAGAAAGCCCCTCAAGGGAGGTGTGCGCTCCCTGGCCCTGGCAAAGGGCTACTCCAGCATGCACAGGAGAAGGCAGATGAAACTCCTGCTGCTGTGGGGTTCTCTAAGGTGCAGAACTCTCCATCCACCACCCAGCCTCGCCGGGACTGAAACACTCTCTTTCAGTCCCCGCCCCAGCTGGGCTCTGGGTGGGACCCTACTGGCTGGCTCTGGCCGAGGCTCTCCGTGGCTGGGTTCTTTTAAGCTCTTTTTTCACTAGCCCAGCATGAAATCCTTTGTGACGCACTCTGGGCTCGCTGCTCCGGAAGGGAAACACGCTCGTCTCGGCGTTTCACGAGCTAATGACTCTTGAGATGGCTGCTGTGCATGCAAGTCCTAATGCTGGAGGGAGCAATCCCAGGCCTGCATGAGATCAGCCTCGGCCAGGAATCAGTTTGGCAGGGATCAGCTCCATAGCTAGTTGAAAATCAGGTACTGGATCGTATTCCAGCCCAGCTCTGCAGTGCCATTATTACGCTAGACTAACTCGCCCCGTCACTTACCCTG